CAAAATGCAAGCTTCAGATTGGCTGTCGCAACAAATTGCAATCGGCTTGCAACTAATGTAGAATTGGCTTAACGCTTAATATCTCGGTTCGCGAGGCAAAGTGACGCTTATTTCTAAGTTCGGACTTGACCGGATCCTCATACACAGAGCGCTAATTGATGAAAAGTCGATTGTGGGGGTAAAATTTACCTCTATGATCTGTTTTTCACCAGCATTTGATGTCAAAGCGCTGTTGCTCGTATGAGGATCCAGACTAATAGATTCTTTCGTTTTATGCAAATAGGTGTCGAATAAACCTAATTTTATTTGTGAGATGCTGTAGCTAAACTGTGTAATTACCCTCATATATACGATTTTAAAAGCGACTTTTACCAAGATTCAGTTAACTTGATCAGTCTAGTAACTTTGCGGGATTCCAATTGAAGCTGAAAAAATGCGAACTGAAAAGTTAATATATTTACATTTACATTCATAATTTCGAAAAACTTTTAGAGGTGGCTTAAAAATACAAAATATAAATAAGTAATATACAGCCAACGCAAGATGTCTTAAGCGAAAGTCATATATTTAAGAATTTTTAATATGGTAAAGTAGTTTCGATCAAGTTTTGACCATCATCATTACAATAAAAATATAAAACGATGTGTCACAAACATTAAAAAGAATATTAACAATTATTCGTTAGTCCAGACTTGACGATAACAATTTTACATAAAATTTTACAATTTTATGAAGTGAAATTTTATTACGATATAAATTTCTTGTTACTTGAAACTTTGTGAGACTTCGTGTGAAAAATACGGAATTTCCAGATTCTAGTTAGATTTAAAAGAGAATAAAATTTTAATATATAACTTTTTTATATAATTGTCAATAATAAGAATCGGTTTAGATTTATAATCGAATTAGCTTACCACGTATTTTGTGACAAAAGTTCTCGCAAGTATAATTCGGAGTTTTAAATGTAAATTAACAACTATAGTCTTGGAAAACTTTTTAGTAAAAATTATTCTTGACAGAATGTGATAGCTGTATCTTGCAACAGTTCTTATACATTACATAGGGAAAGGAGAGGGAAAAAAAATAAAGGAGAATAGTTTATTGATGAGTAGAAAAGCTTTTTTCGATAATTAGATAGATTCAGGAAAGCGTTCTATATCGCTCTGTTTATTCAAACACATTTTTTATCTTTTGATATGTATCATCTCGGAGATCATTCTTTTATCATATGATTGTTCAGAATCTAAAATTTTTATGTTCTTCCACTCAATCCTATAATCGTGATCCAATCTGTGATATGAGATAACAGACATAGCATCACTTGGTTTTTTATGTCATTATTGTGTTCTTTTAAACGAGTCTTTAATTTTCTTTTTTATATAATTATCTATCCTACATGTGAAGAGTTGCAGTCGAGACAATTTTTATTTTTATACATTTGAGTGATCTTCTTTTTTAATTTTATCTTTGCCTGTTTTTAATAAAAGTATTTAAACAATTCATATTTCGTGGGCAATTTTGAAATCAAATTTTTGTGTAATAGTTTTGAATTTTTCTTATTATATTTTATTAAAATAAGGAAGAATGAAATATTTTTGTGTGGAATCCGAGCTGACATTATCTTTATGATCTTTGACATTATCAAAATTATTTTTGAAAGACAAAGCTTTTATCCTGTTATTGATCATATTGAAAATAGGAATTCCAAGTGGGGAGGGGGGGGGGGGGGTGTATCCATTATCTTGAAATATATTGATTAAAGAAACAATATCTTTTTTATAAAATTATGGATGGGCAAGGAATAGAATTCTGTCTAACTGTCCGATTACTATACCTTTTTAGGTTCTGTAGGATGATTTGAATTGAAATTCAAATATCTATCAGAATTAATAGCTTTTTGTCAAAGACAATTCCTCTATTAACAGTCTTACATCAAGAAAATTTATTCTTCTATTATCGTATATTATCGTATATTCAACCATAAATTTAATTCTTTCATGGTATGAATTAAAGGAGCAAAGAATTGTATCAATTAGATCTTTTGGAGCTGCCAAAATAATGTCGTCAACATTATAGCAATAATAGAATGAAATATAGGCGGTATTCATAGTCCGTTCTTATTTCAAGACTGTCTTAAGTAAAGTCTTAAGACGCTAATACAGCCCTCTGAGTGGTTCTTAAGATTGTCCTTAAGACGATCTTGAATATAAGATATGACTATGAATACTGCCCTATGTGTGAGATGGTTAGAGTCTAAAAAATGTCGATTTCCAAGTCTTGTATTACAACGTCAACTAAAATTGGAGAGAAAGGAGATCCCATGGGCAGATCAAAAACTTTGAAAATTTCGTCATTAAATTTGAAAAATGTAGAATTTAGAATAATTGAGATTACTATTTGAAATTCGCTGATCATGTTATACGCACTAAAATTTCGTTTCATAAACGAATGTAAATTTATCATCTTCAATTCTGAATTTAAAATATATAGTCAATTCGTTTTATAAGCGAATATAAAATTATCATCGTCAATTCTGGACTAGCGAATAATTGTTAATATTCTTTTTAATGTTTGTAACATTGTTTTATATTTTATTGTACTGATATGGTCAAGACTTGACCGAAACGTCTACTTTATCATATTAAAAATTCTTAAATATGACTTTTACTTAAGACATCTTGCATTGTGGTTGTATGCTCCTTATTATTTATATTTAAAATTTCTCTCTTTGCATTTTTTTCTCCGACATCTGTTTCAATTGAAATCCTGCAAAGTTATCCAGAGCTTGGTAAAAGTCGTCCTAAATATGGAGAACAATGCTCCATTTGTGAAACTATAAGCTAAATGCTAGTGAGTCTCTATTTAAGGGACAATATTTTCAGATATGATCGATATTACTATCCTGAATAAGGTATCAATTATGAAACTTTATCCCCAAAATAGAAAATGAAAAGTGAAAATTTTAACCATTGAAGTTAATGGAGAAATTTTTCACTTTTCACTTTTAATCCTAGAAAAAAATTTCATGATTGATACCCAAATCAAGTGTGGTTGACAAAATAAGGGCTTAAAGCCTGGTCAGAAAAAATGAACTTTATAGAAGGAACACTATTCCTAACTTCTACACAAAGTGTATTCTCTGCTCGAGAGGGATAAATATGTATCTTTCTTCTTCTTCTTTCCTCTTGAAGAGAAAAGGAAGAAAGATAAACTGATGCAAAAGTTCAGCTAAAAAGAATAGGCTTATTAAATACTATGACCTTTCATAGTGAGTTAGAAAACCAAACAGGATCTAAGCAGAACAACAAGTCATTATGATATTAAAATAATGTCAAAATGATTTCAAAATGATCATTAAAAGTCACTTTTCAATCATTTCTTCATTCATTTTAATGTCATTTTGACTTGTTGTTCTGCTTGGGGAGACTTAACAAGAATTCAGCTTCTGCTCAGACTAGAAACTTAATCCTCACCTAGACTGTCCGAGATGATCGTCTTTAGATCTACCGGCGGCGGTACGCTCGACGCTGAGAGGGTTCGCTCCGAAGATCCTATACAGAACTTTGTCCATGTCCATCACCGCTACTGGGAATTTACATTCAATGAGCAAGATGTTAAATAGGTTAAATCGTACAGCGATACGACATCGCCGATCTTACACGAGCGATTCCGCGCCTTGATCTCACGCTATCCTTCCGACCGCAGAACCGCTACGTCTCATTAGCGAGTCGCGTCGCGTGTCGATAGACAGCATCGACAGCGACAAACGGCGATAGAATAATCGATAGACAACGGCCCTTGCGAGTAGCGAAGAGAGTCGGGAGTTTCGATTTATGCAAATATGAACACGTCCGTCAAAGCGTTAACATCGCTATGTCTAAAATCCCTATACTACAGAATGTTTGGAGGGTCAATCACGTAATTTCACCTGAAACTTTTCAAGTTTCATCTTTACTTTTCACTTTTCAATTGCTCAATGTAGAAATTATCCACTGCCAATCACAGTGACTTCTGCGTAGGGAGTTTTGGGTTATTTTTTTTTTAGCGCTGTGATTAGCTTGTGAGCAATTGTATCGTGGCCAATTGCCATACACTCCTAAGGTGCTTTCCATTTGATGACACAATTCGACACAAGTATTGTTTTATTTTTGTCACTCTCTGTTAAGAAGAATAGAATGACGTTTGTGTCGATTTGTGTCGGCTTGTGTCATCAAATGGAAAGCACCCCTATTTTTCAGGGGGCTATTTCATTTTTGCGTTTTTGTCGTATGACAAATGTATACAGAACAGGATATCAATCATGAAATTTTATCCCTAGGACGGAAAATAAAAGATGAAAACTTTAACCATTGAAGTTATGGAGAAATTTTTCATTTTTTACTTTTCATCCTAAAAAAAAAGTTTCATGATTCTCAGAAAGATCCTTGGATCTCTCTATGGCTGTGGTCAAAGTCTCGCTACAAATGCTTTGAAGCATTTAATTAGAAGAAAGAATTTTACAAACTGACCAGTTAAAAAACGCTTCAAAGCGTTTGCAGCATCACGTTGATCTATCCTATGAATATATTTATATGGCATGCTTAATCGGGTTTAATAACATCCATAGTTATGAAACTGGCCAATCATAGTCGTTTTATTCTTCCAACGAACAGCAATTTCATAACTACGGATGTTATTAAACCCGATTAGCGTGTAAATGTAGTCTATTCCATAGCCAATTACAGGCTTGAAAAATTTGTCATATGACAAAAACGCAAATAAAGTATCACCCTCACTCATCGAAATTATGCTTATATATGTATATTGGGATTATCTAAAAAGTATCCGCGGTACTTTGTCACTAGATATATGCCCATCAACACCATGTAGTGATAAAAAACCGCGGATACTTTTTAGATGATCCAATATATACAGATGGAATATTTTGATTGGTTAATTCATGACGACGCGACGCGTGATGCTCTCAATGGAAATATCCTTAATACTTTAATCTGCAGTCGGTGACTCTAGCTGCCTAGCATCGCTTAACGTCCCTGACTCCCCAATATACAATATATTTATCGGTCATTATTGGTATTTACCATTAATTTTCACGACCATTCTCGATAGGATACAGATCTGAAGAGGATAATTGAGTTTTGAAGAAAAATAAGAGGCGCGACGAGAAACGTCCACGACTCGTCTGATTATGTTTCGACGTATGTTTACATCAACTTCGCGCAGTGTATCGGTAAGCCCACGTGGTGTTTCGTCTGCGTATTTTGGATCAGTCTTTTTTTTATAGGTTATTTTACACACAGTGGACAATTAATTTAATGGCAGGGGATGACAAGATTGTTCTGAGCAATTTCTGGCTATATAATTTATTAGATTCTTATTTAATTATTTTGAGAAACTATGTGTGTGACGTTTATCGTTTTCTTGTATTGTGAGAAAAAAGTGTCGTGCTAAATTTGCGAAGTTAGCACGCCATATTTTTATATTTGGTTTTTTAATGTAAAAAGTAAAAACTTTTTTTATTTTTTTGCAAAGAATATAGAACTATGAAAAATGCTACTGGAATTGTCATTACTTTGATAACTATACAGTTTAGCACAATCATCCAAAAAAATTAATAAAATTAGGCTTGTTTGATGCGTTTTTGCATGAAATGAAATAATTTGGCAAAAAAAAGCGTCACTCTACCCTGTGATCCGAAATATTAAACGTTAAAGTTGGTAACTATTGAGATTTAAGAAATCTGTCAGAGATAAAATGAAAGTAATTCTTCAGAAGAACTACCTTCATTTTGGATGAAATTAGGTTCATTCGACATGTTTTTGTATAAAATGAAAGAATCTGGCAAAAAAAAGTCCAGGACTGCTCTGCGAAGCGAGATATTGAGCGTTGAAGTTGACTAAAGTGTTATGTTATAAAGTGCTATGTATCGCGATCATTAATCTGTCATGTAGACAGTGGAGTGTATAGACTAGTGCTTATTGATTTCGGGTGACTATGCAATTCGGAACCAAAAACAAAAATAACATCCTACTCGCTTAGGGCTTAACGGCCTAGAAGTTGCAGTCTAGACAGTAAAAAAGATTGTTTTTACACTCCACTGTTTTCATGGGTTTAAAAATATTCCAAGCGGATACTGTCTAGGCTGCAACTTCTAGGTGATTAGGCCCCAAACAGGATATGTTATTTAGTTTTTGTTCGGAATCGCGTAGTCAAACTTTTGTCTGAAAGATTTTTTTGAAAAAATATTTCCTTTTCGAGATATTTGCATCGGTTTAATCCGATAGATCGATGATCTATCCTGAATATATAATATGTATTACTACATATACAAACACGCTGTTTTGTTTTTTTGTGTATATAATAAATCTTAATTTAAATATTAAATATAATCTCTAAGTTAATAAATTTACAAATAGTATTTTTATAAATAAAAGAAAAATATATTCATTATAATCTTCACCTACATCTTTCTACACTTTTTGTAAATAAGAAAGATAAGTAAGCTTGTTGGAATTTAATAAAATTCATTTCTTTGCTCAAATTTAATCTCTCTTGAGCAATATTTTGCATGCTATAGATAAACGATGAGACTAACAAGAACTGCAATGAGAAAGATGAATGAAACCAAACTGTTGCAGCTGCTATCTCGGTTGTGGAATGGGTCCAATGGTGTACTTGCGGGTAAACATGCCGAAGAGAAAATGATATCCATCCTGAGGAACAGGTTTCCGCAAGCTCAATTGATTGAAGTTACCGATGTATCAGGTATGAACTTTACGCCTTATTATACCGGAAAATCCCGATGTGTCTTAAAAGGCTGCCGCACACAAAATTCCGCAAAAGGTCGTAAGACTTAAGTCGATGAGTCAATATCGGGATATTGCTTTAGATCTACGTAATCTGACGGAAATATAAATAGACGGAAATATAAACTAAAGGGAGCGTTTATATTGGTATACCATAATCGTATGCCGTATGCCATAATCTGTAAAAATTACCAATCACCTTCTCTTCTTACTGTCGAATGAGAGGGGAATACTTGACTGTGATTAGTCAATTTTTACAGATTACAGCATATGACGTACGATTACGGCCAATATAAACGCTACCTTATCCATAAAACAAACTTCAACTGATTAGTTGCTGCTTAAGACGCAAGCAGTATTGAAATCAACATATTGGATCGGTTATTGCTTACATTATAGTTTTACGGATTCTACTGTGATTGGTCAATTCGTTTATTGCTTACGTTTTACTGCTTAAGACTTCTGACTACTCAGCCAAGAACTCTGCGTTGATGGCGACACAGAATCAGACGGCGATCTGGCGAAATCGGTAGCTATACATTTAAGCACGAGCCCATGTCCAAAATGTGACTTGTCTCATACTTATCAAAACGTAACTATCGATGAAAACTAAAGTTATCTTGGAATTTTATAAAAGCGTATATTTTATTCTTTTTAACAGCCGTGGGACCATGTTTCTGTCCGAATATAGGCTCATTTTACGTGTCTTTTACGACCATTTACTGACTATGGGAGGAAAAGACAGTTTTCATCGATTTTTACAAGTGTTTTAAAGTGATCTCATCATTTCGTTTCATCCACATTGTCTTTATTTAAAAATGGCACGCAACATAAATTAACGTGTCATTCCTCGCTTCTGACGTCACGATTCCATGATCGCCGCGACTAGTCAGGAACCTTAAGTTTTTTTTTATACCATGGCTCTTAAAAAATATACTTAGCGATACATTGATATAATAGCAATTTTACTTTAGGAGGATGCGGTGCTATGTTTGACATAAATGTCGTTGCCTCAGAATTCAAAGGACTAAATACTGTAAAGCAACATCAAATTATTAATAAGGTAAAACGCAGTGTCCTTTGAATTTTTTTAAACCGAAGAATATATGAAAATGAAGGTAGTTGTATTATTTTAGGGAGTGTATGTAGTATAACTAATCTATTTTATTGCAGGTTCTTAAGGAAGAAATCAAAGATATGCATGGCCTCCGAATACGTACGAGTATCCCACAAACATAAATTTTATTTTTGGACTGTTGTTAAATTAATTTTACAGAAGGAATAACTAAAGGAATAATATCGATTTTAATGAATCTAATAATGGGCGTCTTAATATTTATATTTCAAGAGTTTTTAAAAGTTTATTCAAAATCACCAAAATTTTTTAATTTTGGATAATTAAAAATAATTCTACATTTTCGTCACATATTCGAGACAATTTGTTGTATGATCAGTCCATTATTAGTTCAAATCTTCATCAATATCTGAAGTTCTTGTATAAAATATAGATAATGTTATATATATTTTATAGGATGTAAATTATATGAACAAATGTAAAACAAATTTTAGAAAAAGAATAAGTGAGATAAAAGTGGAAATTTTATTAATGAAAAAAATAATTTATATTCATTGTGCAGAAAGTCAATTTGGCGAAAATTATTACTATTGTATCGGCGTCTACCCATTTTCGATCACGCCCAATTACGAACGAAAGCTTATCGCTTCTCGCTTAATTCTTATGTTATTCCGTTTTTTTGTCTTGCATGCGCTCGTCCAATTGTTTTGTGTCACAAAGAGATTGTGCGCGCGCGCGCGCGCGCGCGTGTGTGTGTCGCTTATGCATTTTAGCTGGCTCCCCTACTTTATATATATATATATATAGAAAGAGAGAGAGAGAGAGAGAAAAAGAGAGTTCAAATCGCAAAACGCACATATAACCTAAAAATAGAGTACGTTATTCTTTGGCATGCTCTGACAGTAACAGGAAAACGTAAATTGTTATTAAAACTGTTCCATTCTTCATGTAAAATTAATATAACCTATCATGCAAATTGCGAGAACGGTGTCATGGAATGAAAGTGACATCTCGATCGAACTAATTCAGATGATCACTTTTGACCACGCTTTTTGATGGCCTCGTCCATGTAAGTTCGGTCTCCTATTCTCTATACTCATGAGAAGAATGTACTCCATTGATTCCGTTAGCAGAATGAGCTCTGTCTTCCGTTAATGGAGACTACTGTGTCAGCTGTGTTGCACAGCCTGTGTAATCAGCTGCAGTCACAATATGGCTGCTTCACTTAGGAAGGGATACCCAATTAAAATACATATCAGACTGCCAATCAGAGGATCGATTCTGTGTCTTGAAATGAGGTGAAAATGATAAAAGTGAGCGAATTTACTAGAATACTGATTATTTCATTGGTCAACACTTAGTAAATTTGCTCGCTTTTGTAATTTTCATCTTGTTTGATACAGAATCGACGCCCGGGAACTCGGACATCAATATCGGATTTCTTTATATAGGACTCTAGAGATCAAAGAGTGATAGGAGGGAATATATTAATAATGGAAGTAGCTAAATCCACAGATAAATGTACATCATGGCAGCCATCTTAAGCGTCCACTTTTTATGCTAATTTATTGGGTCATCTAAAAAGTATCCGCGGTTTTTAGATGATCCAATATATAGTCACTTTCGTCCGCTTACTTAGAATCAAACATTCCCTTCTGTTTCTCTTTACTCTTTGCTAGAGATAGCCTCAGTATCTTTGTTTAATCGCATATACGCTGTTGATTTTCACTGTTGAATGGAGAGATTTCAGTTGCTACTAGCAGTCCATGTTATATAAGGTATGATCAATACGATGTTGCAAACGCTTTGAAGGGTTTTTTAATTGGTCAATTTATAAAATTCTTCTAATTGGTCCAAATCAAACGTTTCAAAGCATTTGTAGTGAGACTTTGATCACAGCCATAGTCAAAGTCTCTATCATGAGAGTATCGATCATGTCATTTTTTTCTCTAGATCATGTAACTTTTTCTGTTTTTCTATTGAAAAATCATCGTACACTACCGCCAATACATCTGTTTTCGGTTTGGATACTACATGGTCACATACATTTTCTGACCCTGTCGATAAAATCATAACTACCGCACGAGCTAATACTACTAGCTAATACTACTGTTTTTTGTTCCTATACTAGACTGTTCTAGAACTCTCTTTCTCGCTTTAAACAAATATCAAACTGTAGCGGATTGCTATATATAATGAATTAAGGTATTGGAGGAAACTCAGATTTGTAAAATAACAAAATAATAAAAATGTTCGTTTATTCAATAGTACATACAATTTTCTATCACGACAGTGTAACTCGACTTGACTCGTGTATTACCATTAAGAGAGCAAAAAAAGAATAGGTATCTAGATGGATAATTCAGCATGGTGTTTTGTGTGAGCGCGCCATCTAGTCACGGAGTGTGTGAGTCTAAGCGAGTATGAAAGCATGGTTGAAGTGTAACTGAAAGAGTGAGTGAGTGAGTGAGTGTGTGTGTGCGTTAAGTGGAACGTGCTTCACAAAACATATATCTATCTCACTTTAAGTTCCAAAAGTGTATACTAGTTCAGCCACAGAAAACAGACCTTATATGGTATAAGACAGTCGGCCCTGAAATTTTCGTGATTTCGTGATCAATGAGGGGTAATTGAAGTCAATATCGACAATTGACATAAAATTACGATTATTAACATGAATGTCTGGATAATACACAATTATTAAATTCATAATTTTTTTATTATATAAATTCTGCATAAATAAGTATATAACTTGTAATATCTTATAATCTTATATACTATTGCAAAATTATTTTTGTTTCTCTATAGTTATCATGTCTATATTGATAATTGAACTCTGACGATAACATTAAAATCATAATTTTAAACAAAAATCGAGCATCATATCAAGTTTTAAACATATACATGTCTACGAAATTAATAAATCATAAAATTAGTATTATATTATTGGTGTCTTTTATTATCAATTATTTAAATTTTAACGATCACGCGAATTTATAATTTCTATAAAATCGGCCGTCTTTAATAACATCTCGTGGATGTTAGTACTTATTATTACATTCTTCTCTGTAATTGCATCCCCAGCAAACAAGAATGGATTAAAATGGATTGAAATTTTTTTTGAATGCGTATTTTAAATAGCGAATTTTTTTGGATTTAATTGGATGCAATTGAATTGAAAAACTGCATTTCCTATTCAAAATTTTGAATTGAATAATATTCACAATGTGTGTTGTGCGCAGAAAAAGTTAATATTATTTTTAGATTGAAAAGCATAGAGATATCCATGCAATTCCTATAAATGAATAAAAATGCATTCAGGATTGAAAAACATTCATTTTAACATTCGTGAATCAATATTTCTGAAAATCTGAATCCATTTCAATCCATTTAAATCTATTCTCGTTTGCTGAGTCAATTTTCCGAATTTTGCAATAAAATTTTTCTTTAAGTAGTAGTGTAGTTTTACTTTAAAAGAAGAATTTAAAGTATAAATTAGATTTTATAGAAGAATATAAATTTATAAAAGAATATAAAGTTATATAATTGAACTGTCCGAAATTCGCGTGCTCAGACATGGCACATTATATTGTACAGTAATAATAAAGATGTTTAAAAAAATAGGAGAGAATAGAATTCATTGAGCTTGAAAACATTTTAACCTTTCTTATTTAGAAATTATTATAGTCTCATTTTGGTATTTATAGAATTTTCGTCTTGAAATGATCTCAGAAATTTGCTATTGACTGGTACCATGCGAAGTCTGAAACATCCTACATATTTTTAAGACTATGTAGATGTTAAAGAAATAATTAAAAAATTTTTTTCTATACGATAAAGGAGTTAATTGATCAGCGTGACATTAAATCGTTAAAAAAAAATTAATATGTTGCTTTCATAGATTCATCGATCGTTTTGTGTCAGTTGCATTTGATCTCTTCGGAGCGATTATCTCTGTTAATTTTGCGGTATTTTGATAAAAGTGAGATTATTTGTAAACTAAAGCGACTTTGCCTGCTGAAAGATTACGAAGAGCGTAAAATCAAAGATGCTTAGTTTTCTTTTATATGGGGATTTTCTTAAATATTTTAATCAATTAAATATAATACACACTAAACAAAAAATTACCATATTAAAAAAAAAAATATATATATATATATATACACACACACTTTATATTTCAATAATATAAAAAATAAAATAAGAATAAAATATTTTTAATCCGGAACGAAAATCGAAAGTTTGTTGAAAATCATGATTACCTGAAAGCGTCAAAGCGCAAATCGGGATGGATGCAGAGGAATTTGCCAATGTAGTCGGACGAATAAACCTCGTTTGCTGGTATAATATATAGTATAGCCTGTAAGTTTCGTTTATTATGATATCCATATGTGTCATTAGCCTTAATGGGAGAAACGATCGATTAAGATATTATACGCTCCTCTTAGATCATCCACTGATAAAAGATGGCTACACTAAATTATACATAAGTATGTTGTATATTAAATTACGTTTACAGATTCGTTAAAAATCGTTATCGTGCGGCGTGTAATCGGCGCCGTATAAAAAAAAGAAATGGAGAGATTACAAAAATACGCAATCCGTATCGCGTGGATATAAGACAATAAAAACAAAAGAAAAAGAGAGAACGATGGAGCAGCATTTAAAAATCGGAAAGACCGTATGAGGATTGATAATCCTACAAATTATTGTACGAGTCAACGTGGACGAGGGGCGTCGTATTCTCTTTTCGCTTTGGTATTTCATAGGTGCAGTGGGTATAGCGCCTGCAATGTTAAACGATTCTCACGTCTCAGCCAGTGCTATCGCGTGCTCGGACTTTCTTTCCGAATCATTCAATATATGATAAAATCCTCGACGTGCCGACATTAATTCCAACAACGACAGATTTACTTTGTATCAACATCTTTTTTTTCATAGTCGCGAATGTTTCAGATGCGCATTATTAAAAATAGAATATTTCTCGCGAATTATAAGTTACAAATTATTTTGTTATTCGCTTTTTGAGCGAATTGCGCGTTTCCCGAAACCATTGCTTTGGATTATAAAAATTATTGAGGCACTATCGGAGAAAAGTCCGTTAATCCTTCAAAGCTGACGTGAATCTAATTGAATCCATTCTATTGGATAATAAAGATTCTGATACATAAAAATAATTCAACTTTCTTTTGTGGAATAATAATATTGAAGTACATTATTA